ATTCCCTCACCAATTTCTTTAGAGGACACTTAAAACATTCTCATTTTCTTCTCTTTTCACACCCAGAATTTCAATATTCGAATTTCTAGAATATTGGCTTTCTAGCTGAACAACCAGTCTCTCTAGGTTCCCTGTATGGGTCTCCGAAGTGTGGCGTTTGACATGCAGTTCATCGTACCTAGTGGATAGTTCAGCATTTTTCACTACCACTACTGCCAGCTGCTTCTTCAAATTTTCTATAGTTGTATGAGTTAAACCAAGGCTCTGAGCATTGCTACATGACTAAGTTCGGAATTCACGCGTTTCATTTCGGAATTCCCTTTCAAACGATTAACGTGATTCCTTCTTTTCCTGCATGAATTCATCACGCAATTTCAAGAGGCCATGCTTGACATCTTCGTTAATCATTGCAATATCCTTCCACATGAATACATGGTAACGGGTAACACACACAGCACACACAACAGACCGCAAGATATAAGAAAAATTATGTAGCTTGGCGGCAGTGACAATATATGTATAAAAATGTTGGCGTGCATAAAGCCCACCACTTCTTTTGGAATATGCGCTTTGAACATGTCGTTAATAACACCAATCGAATTCTCGGATTTCTACGCCGTAATAATTCATCTGTTCTTTCAGATTTCAACATAATTTTATACACAACACTCGTTAGACCCAAATGAAAATTCGCTTGTTGTAGTTGGGATTCATCTAGCTCTTAATTAACCATGGCCCTTGAGTCCGTTCAGAACCGCACAGCTTCTTTTGTGTTTTTTTTTAATTACTACGTCCACGCGAGTGTTTCTGTAATGAAAGCTACATTAGGTCCATCAACACTTGAGTAACACCATAAGCAGTTCCGCTGAAACCTGTTTCACAAAATCTTTTAACAAACCCAACACTTGAAAGTAATCCAACAATGACTAGAAGTAAAACACGTATAAAAGGGCACATATGCGATCTACATTTTGTTGTGTCAATGTTTTCAACAGATTTTATTCAATATGCATGTCATGGGATTAGGTGCATTTAAACGTGTGGAGTGAGAGAGAGACGTTTATTTACAGAAAGGCAGGGAGGTCACGCGCCTGCCTACTACACTACACTGGGAGAGGAAAAGGGAAGTAAAAAATCATGAATGCCGGTGGTGAGTTAGAGGTTAGAATGCACAGTCCCATCAGGTTTGCGCAATGCTAGAGCCACGCCGAGAGTCCAGTGGCTTGCAGAAAAACCATAACCGCTCTTCCGACTGTTACACTCAACCGGTTATGTAGATGGAGTTCCCAACTCTCGAAGAAAAATAGGAACACGAAATTGCGCAGTAAAGTATAGAACGCTGAAAATATCCGTATACGTTACTTTCCATTGTATGATATCCCCACAGTAATATATTTGTCGTATAAATGACTTCTTCACGTAACTTACCTGAAACTATGTAGTGATAGTAACGTAAATATCTACATGCTTTCGTATTTAGAGTCTTTACAAACAATATTTGGAGCAATTCTTAAAAATACCTAATGACTACTGCACGCAAACAATCCTGATAGAACATATCTTGCAGGTGAGTAGCTGGTGAGAAACATTACAAGAGGTGTCTCGTCGCGAAACCCGTTTGTGCAGAAACGCCTTGTCATTTAAATCAAGATGAAAATGTGATATTTCTCTGTACACCGAATGCTCCATGAACATCGTGAGATTTCAGAAGTGAGTTGCAAATATTGTACTTCATTTTAGGAGTTGCGTTGAGTTTCTTTCTTTCACTAGGGCTGCGTAAAACAACTCAGTTATTTTCCCCGAAACAGTAAGCGGAATGAGTGCGCGATTAATGAATTTCGAAACACAATAAAATACGAATTTAATACTACTAACGCCGAATCGAATATTGTTCGTATGGTTTCAGAATAGTAAAATAACCGTTTCTACACCAACCATGCATTTCTGAAGAGATTTCATTAAAAGAAATGGTCACCAATTTCAATAAAGCAACACGACGATTACTTCTAACCTACAAAAACTGTAGGTTAAAATTCGGAATTTCAGAATTCACAGTGACTAAAGCCTCCGAGATTTTCAATAGCTCTTGTTTCACCTCAACAGTAACTTCAGTATTCAGGCCCATAATTCGCCATGATCTTTTGAATAAACAAAACTCAAACATAAAAATAAAATTTTGTTTCTTGAACCTACACCATCATGAGACTCCCGATGATGATAGCGGATGAGACTCTTGCTCCGGGGGCACTTGACTTTTAACCAAGAACGCCTTCATGCCGTGCACTATATAGCCTCGATAGTCCCGGAAAAGCTTCAGCGGCATGCAATTCAGTACCTCATTATGTAAAACAAGAAAATTATTCCTCGCAACTCCAATGTTGCCTTCTTTTGGGGTCTTCCCACTGTATTTGAATATTCGAGAAGCATTCGCAAATTTTCGCAAATATTTCTCAAATAATATATTTCATTCTGGACACGAATCGAATAGATTGCTACGCGAATTCCTATTCAAAATTTTTGAGTATTCGCAGCCCCTAGAAAACGGGCACATTTCACAGGAGAGATCATGCGAACGGACAGAAGTGTAACAGAAAAAGTGGAATTGCATTTCATTTGGTCTTTGAAGTTAACAGGGTTGGCACGTCAGCTGTGCCATCGCGAAACTAGACACGTGTTCGATAACGCAGATGCCAGCATGTGCGCCCCATCTGAACAATAATTGTGGCTATGCCACTGCTGCATTTTTGTATTTTTGTATCTGTATTCTCTTCGTTTTTCTTTTTTTCCCATCTCTCTACTTCTAGTCTTGCACATCGCCAAGCAGAATTTTCGTTTCTAAGTGGGGCTCGACCACTCTATGTGTCGTTATACCCACTTGTGGCTGTCTGCGTACACCAGTTTTCACTGTTGGCATAATCAGTGTCGCTGTTCAAAATTGAGTGACGGGCAACGTGAACACGAATTGTTCTAAAAATAAAGTCGTGCGATCCTGGACGTAGTGCAGCACCGAGTGATTGGCTGAAATGTTCAGAAGGAACATTTCGGCACTTCACTTACCCACACACTCAAGAAACACCCACTGCCCTCAGCGCTGTATTTGGCGTGTTTTTTTTTTTGAGGGCATGAATGGGGTGAAATTTTTTTTAAAGGAGTGCTAAGTAGGCCTAAGTGCCTACAATATGACGATTGTCAGTTTCATTGTGTTTTCTTCTTTTGGACACAATTTCGAATGGTGCCCACATTTCTGCACTTGTGTTTATCACTTCTGTCCCCTGCTGGCTAACAACAAACAATAGACATTCAATTTTGAATGAACTGGATATTCTGCATATCAACCGTGCTTTCATTTAATAAAAGCACGGTCTACAATTTTCGCCAGTAACACTAACACTTTTTGGCACGCTCACTCTCGACAGCTAGGTCAGTACTAGTGTTTCCTCCGAATGAATACGACCAATGAATTACGCACTTACAAGGAGGCTTACATTTTAGTTTTATGTGCAATGATACTAAATGCCTGTTTTCATAATAAATATATACGTAATGAAGTTTTACAACATAATTATAAATAATAAAATGCGCACACCAGCACACTTCCACCTTGTCCTGAGCGCAACAGATTATCAAACGCCTTGCCATCGACCTAGACAAGTTTGACACATTCACAAAACTTTTGTCACAATTCAAGCCTCAAAAGTTTAAACTCAAGTGCAGCTTAGAGATACCTTGTCTTCTTTCTTGTTGTTGTTTTAGTCTCTGTGATACTTGAACAACACTAAACAGTAAAACAACTTTTCACGTACTATAAAATTAGTTTCACGATACCGGAAGCACTACTGTAACAGCAAGAGCACTCTTGACAAGTGAGAAAACGCGCAAAGCAAGTACAAATGGTGACCCGCTTTACAGCTCTCGCACTAGCTTACTGAGTTGCCATCAAACTTCGACAGCGTCTGTTACAGCATATAAGTAATCATTTGTCACTAAATATATGACATATCGTGCGTTAACTGTCCCTGAGTTGAAAATAGCAAGTGTAGGAAAGCCTCATACGCAACAAGACTGAAATTTATGATGTCACACTACTGTTTGCACTCACAAATTCAGCGACGAACATTTACAATCTATGAAAAAGCAGTAAGCTCCTGTAATGAGTCTCAAAAACAGGCTATCATTTTCAGTCACAATAGCTGGAGGCTCTTGGTCTTCCGCTTCTAAGAGCTCATTAGCAAGGACGTGTCTGCTTCAAGAGAGTATGCATATACAATTATAGCACCTGTCAATTACTGTCAGGTGAAGCAACGCACGAAAGGGAAACCCACTGAATATTAAGAATGACTTGCAGTGCCTACAGCACACATTTTGGGATCACAACATGCAATTCGTCGCTGCTCATCAGGCGAAAAGTGTACGATTGTTCGACATTATCAGTGCTAATATACATAAGGGCTGAAAACTTTGAGGACAGCAAGGCTGCATCAGGAAACAATAGGGACCACGCAGCGTGTTTTGCATGCTGCTTGGTTCGATAACAGACCAGGAAAAAGCAATAACAGACCCAGGCACAGCATGATTTACATAAGAACAAACATGAGTAGCATATGTTCTAGCTCATTTTGAGCAAAAAAAAAAAGAACCTGAGCAGGACACGTTAGGCGCAGAACTGAAAGACAGCGGTCTATAAAAACTACGAGACTGAGTCCCAGGAATGGGCAACTAAGATAAGAAAGCGAAATTAACAAGTGCCCACAAGTAAACAGCTCACACAATATACAAAGAATCAGAGACATTTGAGAGAGGCCTTCGTCCTGAAAAGAAGGTATGCTGATGACGTATGGAATATGCTGATGACAATATTATGATTGCGTGAAGTCTGCATAGTTATGTAAGGCAAAGAAGTGTTCCACTGTGGTGCGATTCGCTTACGATATTTTGATCCCAAGTTATAAACTTATCTAAACGGAGCACAAATACACGTATTCACAATTGCACACACTCACCCATAGAGTAACGTTTGTAGTAAGAAGAAGGCATCGTGCTACGGGAGCCATGAGAACGACGTATCCGATCTGTACTCGATAAATTCACCCTCACGTACGTTATCAAAACACCCACTGGTCAAGGCTTCTTGCTTCAGAGGCAACACAACGTTGCGACGATGGTGTGAAGCATGGATCTCTCCGGGAGCTTCACAGAGCTGCTTTCGTGCTAGGTATGTAAAACTGCAGCACTGGTGGTTTTCCTTTTTGCATCACTTTCTGACAGGCTTTCCTATTTTTTTCACCTGATAAGCTACTATCTTCGCTTCTGTTTGAATAAATTTGCGAATTTTGTGCACAATCTGTCAAAATATCCGTGCAAGTGGAAATTGTTGTCAGCATGCGTCGGGACACGTCACAGAAGGGCCCGAAATTTAGCGTTGTAATCGCCACTTGTTGTTTGATGCCCTTTCGGCGCGTACTCAGTGGTTTGAGGAAAAGCGCAGCACATAACAAAGAACAAACTTTTCGCCGGGATCCGTCGTTCTTGAAGTAGGCAACCGCATACATTACCCACGTCATGCGGCTTCAAGAATGCCACGTCGAAGCTGTTCTACGGGAGCCATGAGAACAACGTATGTGATCTGCTGGCTGGCTACATCAAAGGCTGTATATCCTCGAAGCAGATGTCACAAGCAGAAAAGAATATTCAACGGACACAAACGAAACTCGACCGTTGTATTTGTGCGCACATGCGACGTCAAACGAGACTTCTAGCGGCAGTTTTCCTCAGCTGTCGTAATCTGCTCGCGTTGACCCCCTTTTCTTCTTGAGTGACTGCCGTTATCTTAAGGGACACTGATAGCCCCTCCTTGGGTGGACGTAAGCGTGAAGTTGAATGGCGCGACGCCTGGATCACTGACGACGGCGACGCTGTACGCGATGGCCTGCGCATATCGCCACTTTTATTCGCCGTCAAACAGCGTCCGCGAAGACTCGTTTTTAGCTATGCGCATGCTAGCAAGAAACGCTACGTGCAACGTGGAAAAACGTATAAGCTAACATTTCATAGAAATCACAGGGGTCAAGCTTTGGATTCCGCAACTTTGGATTTTCTTTTTTTTTTCAAATAGGGTATGGCAATGATAGCATGACTGAAAATACCTACAAGAAACACAGTCGGCCAGTATTTACTTATTTATTCGACAATACATAGCACACACTAAAGGTGCTACACGGTGCCTTATGTGCATTGATAGGGAAGCCTGCATGTTCTTTGAAGGGCAATGTTTGGAGCAATCAGATGGAGTAGGAACACAATAACCACTTTCGATGACCCACTTGTATATATCACCCGCTCACTGTGTAACAATGTTTCCTAAAGAACAAAAGAACGGTGTGCGAAACAAAGGAGATATCTATTATCTATAGATAGATAGATAGATAGATAGATAGATAGATAGATAGATAGATAGATAGATAGATAGATAGATAGATAGATAGATAGATAGATAGATAGATAGATAGATAGATAGATAGATAGATAGATAGATAGATAGATAGATAGATAGATAGATAGATAGATAGATAGATAGATAGATAGATAGATAGATAGATAGATAGATAGATAGATAGATAGATAGATAGATAGATAGATAGATAGATAGATAGATAGATAGATAGATAGATAGATAGATAGATAGATAGATAGATAGATAGATAGATAGATAGATAGATAGATAGATAGATAGATAGATAGATAGATAGATAGATAGATAGATAGATAGATAGATAGATAGATAGATAGATAGATAGATAGATAGATAGATAGATAGATAGATAGATAGATAGATAGATAGATAGATAGATAGATAGATAGATAGATAGATAGATACGCCCAAATTCATCAAAATTCTCTAAGAAATGCTTCGCACTTAAAACGAATTATTAGAAAAATGATATCTGATACGACATTTTAATATCTTAATTATCATTGCGCGAAGAAGACTGTTTAGGTACATTCATTTTCTAATATGAGTGTAGGATGAAATGCTTCACATAGGTGCTTTAACCGCAGTTTTATTTCACGCGATGATAACAATTTCCATTCTACTTCATTTTTTACATGGTTACAGCTGTCATTTTTGAGTAATGGCTTTCGACAAAACTTGAAGCGCTGTTCTGTATTTTTCACTGTTTGTCACTTAAGGACATATAACAAAAAATATCACACGAAACTAGCATATTCAGGCATACGGAGAATGTATGCTAAGTACACCGTTGATTGTAAACATGCTGGATGCCTGTCACAGGCTTCGCTGTATGAAGTATAATTATTTGGCGACCTTCGCCAGCACTCAATCAACAGGAGAATTCCATGAGTGGTCCTCTGTGGTTTTTCATTTGTACCCCAGCAACCCGCGGCTGCCCGGAAAAACGTGTTCTCCCTTTCCCACCGCAACACCCAAGATTTCAGGGAGATTCTTCAGTTCTTTCAGGGCACTGGACAGCTATTTGTAGACGGTGGTCTCCACGTCCTGAACCATGGACGTCACTTTTATTTTCTTACCCCATCTTTAATTCTGACTCCTTCTTCCCCTGCAGACGCTGACACATTCTTCCACTTGGGCTGCAGAAATAGCGTCTTTTGCACTCCTCAAGCTCCTCCTCCGATCGTTCGCAGCATGTCAGCTTTCTCTTCGTTGAACCTTATAGTGTTTAGAAATATCAATGCTGCCTTTTTTTTACATGAATAGGGGTTTCGGACACAAATTCGGACAACGAAGATCCGTCATTTGTCGGGCAGTTAATTATGATCTTGTGCATATCGGGCCATCGTCGTGAAGGGCGAGTCAGGACTGAGTCGAAGAAGACGTGAGGGCTCCCGTCTCGCGAGCTTCCAGACGATGCCTGCACTCACGGGGCCGCACTGTCAAGATGTACGTCATTGATCTATAGACTGCCTTTACTTGTGAATATCGGGCCGTCGTCATGAAGGGTGAGTCAGGACAGAGCCGAAGTAGACATGAGGACTCCCGTCTTGCAAACCTCCAGATGGTGTCTGTACTCACGTCAGTCCATGGGTGCTCCTAGTGGTCTTAGTTGCAACTGGAGTCGTGCTCCCAGGTCACAGCGGTGATTATGTCTCGCACATCCACTTTACCCATAGCGGCTTCACAAAAGTCCTCGAGGCTACGGCTGCGGTCGAAATTTGTGCACTCCGCTCCATCTCACCACCGAAGGTCCTTCCTCCCGGTTTTTACGGCACCAAATTGTTCAGGAAAGGAACGAGCCGCTGTCCCCATGGCGAAGCCCCACCCGTCCACCTCTTCTTTATCCCGAACGCTTTGGCTGGTTTGTTGTTCCTTGGAGTCCTGGCGCAATCCACCACGGGGGATCGGCCATGGAATAGATGGTGCCTCATTTCTGAGATGAAATTGTTTTACCAGCTAGATCATTTAGTTAAGGATGTTTAAACAAAGAACCAATTAGTAAACGATAGATTAGAAATAAAATAAATAGAGGTAATACAAAAAACGAACAAGCTATTATGGTTTGAAATAAAGTGAATTTATGCCTCAGCTTAACATTCTAATCGTTTTGTTGCGTTTAGAGAATCGCCTATGGCCTCGCAAACGTTCCTGTTGCCAAATTCCTTTTCAGTTGCTCTAAAGCAAAGGACCACCGGAAGGGATAAATTTAGAGCCAACCTAAGGAGAGGTTCTTCTAACAGTCTCTTCCTTTGGTTTGTATGTAACCTGCATGTTAAGAGAGATGGTGAAGAGATTCACTCTCGTTGCAGTGGAAGCATAGGGGAGACTGTGCCATACCAGACCTGTGTAGATAAAATTTCAAAGGGGGGGGGGAGGACTCGGCATCTTAGTCTCGTAATTGATATCTCCGCCATTCTAGAGGAGCACCATCGAGTTTTCCAGGGGTACTTAAAATCAGGAAAAACAGATGTTGCCAAGTGAGATTTTTCAAACTGATCTGACATGAGAAACTTTTCAAAGCGTCCCACGGCGATAAATGCTAGCGTTGGCACTATAGAAACTGTGGGATAATTATGTGAGGCCACTGCGAGTGCATATGGATGTTCATTGAGGAAGAAACCTTAATGCCCTGGTATCTACACCAAGCGAATGAGTCGTAAATGTCTTGGGACAAGGGCGCAAAATACTTTTAGAGCATTGGACATATTAGGCGCAGTTAATGAACTACACACACAGAAGCAGTCTGAAAGAATAATGCTTTGCTTTGCTTTGCTATCCTAGATACATGGCACGTACCCACTTTGAGGGATTGGCCAAGAATGCAACGTAGAGACTGTCAAATGTTATTTTAGGTAACCTACAAAATTTACAACTAAGAATAAAAAAATGATATGACCATTATACGTAAAATATTTTACTTAACTACAAGTAATATGCTTTTGAGCCTGTATTCCATACTGCCGTAATAACCTGACGGGAATAACTTTGAAGACTTAAGTTTTACCTTAATGAAATGACGAGGAATTTTAAATACCTGATTAAAATGACGCTCGTTGAGTATTTATAATGTAGTTACACACGGCATCAAAGGCATCCTTGTGGCAGAATACCAAGCCTGAGGCACCAAAGCCTAAAATATTTTCTCTGATAAGGTCAAGCCTATTTTTGTAAAAGGAATAATTTGAAATCGATTTCTGATCCGAGAATATTTTGCACATGACAACAAGTAATGTGCGATATTTTCCAGTTCTCCGCAGAATTGGCATGACAACAAGTAATGTGCGATATTTTCCAGTTCTCCGCAGAATTGGCAGAGGGGTGATATTGTCAGACCAGCCCTGTACCAATAAACGTTTAATGGGGGAACATGACATCGAAATCTGGTGATCATGACTTCTGATTGTCGAGAATGGCTCCACTGCGATTTCCATGGATATTTTAGGTGACTATGCACTGTCCGCATCCTAAAGATAATAGTGGCGCTCTTCGTCGTTCAGCATCAACAAAAAACAAATAAATTTGTGTCTTGCTTTGGCTTTTGTAAGTAACAACCTCATTATGAGTTTGTGTTATGTATACTTCTCTATTCTGTGGTGTTTTGGTCGCTGAAAAAGGCTGCGCTGCAAAGTTGTGAACGAAAAACTAGACTAGCACAGGGAAAGCGCATGTAACAACTCAAGTGTATTGAAACAAATAGCCTAAAAGGGGATGGGCGGAGTAACATAGAAGGGAGCGGGCACTGCAAGCAAATCACGTATGGTGCTATCGGGGTGCTATCTATGGCGTATTGCACGTGCTTTTTTTATACAGTTTTTCATCCAGAACTTTTTCGTCAACAACTTTGCAGCGCAGCCCTTTCCTGCAGTATGTTTCAACTAGCCCCCACACAAGCTTTTCTGAATGTTTTGGTTGCCGTTCTTTAAAAAATCTTTTACTGGGAGCAGAATGTTGCACATACTGCATCACTGATGTTTGTTTAGAAACTTAACCTTCTAATACAACTTTTTTTCAGTTTATAATTGTTGCCTCCCTCCATAAAACCAACTTGGGGCATCTCAAGCAAGATTAAGCACTGATACAGTTTTAGTGCCACCATGTGCTCACCACTTCTATGTTGAATAATCTTATCTTCTGTTCTATCAGCTTTCCAATTTGTGGGAGCTGAGAACCAGAGAAATATACCAATTTCATTGTTTAACCGTCAGCTGCACAGCTAAGCGGCAAAAAGCTGTCACTACACAACAAAAGCTAGTCGACAAAAATAACCTTCGTAAATTATGGTACACTGAATACCTC